CAGTCGTTTAGCAAATGAGTAATATGTATAGCTCCACGAATAAAATCGTAGCAGAATAATTTTTATTTTACAAAAATCAACTGTTTAAAGACTATAATGCTTTCACCTTGTGGCTCCTGTGCAACTCATAACATAATACTTACATAATTGGTGGTGTAAAAATGAATGCAACGATCACTTAACACCAGGGACATAACAGTTATTAGATGAGAAATATTTTTAACTTCGCCGGCAAGAGTTATAACCCAACGTTTAGTTTTTACGTTGCCTGATAACTGTTATGCAGGAGAAATATGTTTTCCGTCGCCAATAAGAGTTATTGCCCAACGTTTATTTTTTACTTTGCTTGATAACAGTTATTACCCAACATTTATTTTTTACTTTGCTTGGTAACAGTTATTAACCAAAGTTTATTTTTACCTGGTCTGATAACAGTTATTTCACTACTCCACTTTTATTTTCACCATCTTTCGTCTTCTTCTCCACCTCCATTTTCGTCATTATTCCTATCTTACAACGTTTATCAGACAACGTAAAAGATAAACGTTGGCCAATAGCTGTTACCAAGCAACTTAAAAGATAAACGTTGGGCAATAACTGTTATCAAACAACGTAAAAAAATAAACCTTAGCTTATAACTCTTATCGGCGAAATAAAAAAAATATTTTCCATGTAATAACCATTATGAAACAACGCTTTCGCCAAATTTCAGAATTCGGGCAACGTTTTCAATTTGTAAATTCGAGATAACAGTTATTTTTGGTCCCCGCTTAACACATACATGTCAGAAAAAAAAAAACACATAAACACTCTTCGTTGTACTACCGCAGACCGCTGGTAACAAATGGTTCTAACAAAGCTCGCTTACGGCTCGCTTACGGCTCGCTGCAGCATAGCTCAAACCAAACTTTTTCTTCGTGCAGCACATCCTGCACGCCTCTGCCATTCGCTTGTTTGCACGCTCTTTGCTCTCTACCTCTACATCTATGCTGCTCAAGCTCCTCTCAATTTCTGGTAATAGTTGTATAAATGTTCTTCGCTGTTGGTTTCTAATACGCACAAAGCACATTTAAAACCTATTCGTCTATCTCGTTTAACGCTTTAAGCCATGGCAAAACGCTACTGATAACACAAAACAAAAATAATACAAACATGCATACAAGTCTTATCCGCATACTGTCATTGTCTTATCTCTTTTCTCTTCTTCCATTACATTGTACTTGTGTCACTTGTTCGTCTGCCCATTTGTCCTGTATAAAAAAAAACAAAAAACAAAAAAAAACACGACAAAATACAAAAACGTTATCATAAAATAATGCCCTGGGTGGTAAAACGCAGACGCTTAAAGAAATGTGCACATCTGCTGCCGCAGCTGCTGGTACTAACATGAATGGCCAGCGCCATCTATATCGCCAGTCACACATAAGTTATGGAATCCTTAGCGCTTAGAACGCCCGCCATCAACAAGCAAGTTAAAGCAAGTTAAAGCGCGCACCATTCTCGCTGCTCAACACATCCGCGACGATTTCATCTCACACACTCAACCGCGCCAGCTGTAGCGCTAGGAGTCAATGAATCAAAAAAAAAAAAATTATTAGCACCGCAAAATCAAAATTAAATGCTTAACACAAAACGACTGGAGACACTTAACACTTTATAGATATAATACTTAGAGGATACTAATAATAATTTTTAAAGCATCCATACTTTTTTCGGCTTTGTAAGAAATTGCGGATGCTGTTGTATGCGAGTTACTTTGCGCGTTCTCCGGCGGCCTTTATGTATGTATGTAATTATTTGTTTTTGGAGACTTGTTCAGCTTTAGTGTGCACTCAAAAAAAGTAAAATTAGTTGACACCTAGAATTGCTTTTCATCGAACGGTGGTGATAATATTTTAAAAATTATTGAATGTATAAATCTATTGAACACTGTGCTACCTTCGGTTGGTGTCGCGAAATCTACACTGTTTATTAGTACAAACACGAACTCACACACTTGCAAAGTACACCATAGGCTTTAAATGTCCTCATTGATATTTGTACACATAAATGTAATATTAACGGCTGCCTTAGACGTGTGCTTAGAGGTGCGTGCTATTATTCCGTAGGAACTGAGTACGATCCCTGTTTATCTCGTAAGTGCAGCAGTTTACAGCCTCGAGTAATGATTTCGATTTAGATTTATGTAGCTCAAATTTAAAATCGTATTGAAATACGTTTTGGAATTGTTGGCCATTTTTTGAAAGTATTTACCATTTTTCGCACGAAATGCTCGAACTACATAGTGAGTGGTTATTCTTTTCGAACAGTGTAAAGAATATGACACCCGGAGTTGTGCTTTTAAAGCAACGAAAAGGCTTGGATTGAAGTGCGTAAGTATGTACTTTAAAAAAATCTAAGACAATGTGCACCAAGCCTTTTTTTTTACGATTCTTTTCTTTTGTGGAAATGGATCAAGCAAGCATCATTCATTCCAAGAAAGCCTAAAACTTGTACTCAACAAAAGAACTCGGGAGTTTTTGGTGAAATTTTTTTTTTTTTTTTTTTAAAAAAATTGCTTCAGTTAAGAAAGTGTTTTTAACCAACACATTGAACGGGCAACGTAAGCGAAGAAAGCCTTTTTAATGAAGTCATCAAATAGCATACTCCAGCATCTGCAATTTCAAATTCATAACGCTAAGTTTTTTATTGTCAAAACCATATATCATTAATTTAACAAAAACAATTTAATTAAAAAATTGAAAAAAAAATAAATAAATATCATTCAACTAATAAAAGGAAATACAACTCTTTTATAAAGGAATTCGGAGAGTTCTGCTCTCTTAATTTAGATTTGTCTAAGTAATGAAATTTGTCTAATTCTTCAAAATTTAGCAACGGATTTACGTCATTAAGGTATTTTAAAAATGAAGTGCCATAGCCTTTATAAAAAAAAAAAATTGTTACCCTGAGGTGTTCAAAGAGGATTTATTAAATATCGAAAAAACCATGTATTAGCTCTCTCTAATAGCTCATTCTATCTTTCCGCCTTCTCCAGGTAATGGTGCTAAATGTGTCTTCGTTGCTAAAGACCGTAAAAGCTGTCGAGGATGAGCACACACGTGGTACGCGCGCCATGGAATCCACCGTTGAAGCCATTTCACAGGAGATACGCGTAAGTTTAACAGACACAAACTCCCTCACCACACGTTCGCATGCTATACTATATTGAAAACTATTAATTTCTTTTATGCTTACAGGCTATTCACTCACCACCTCCACCTGGCAGCGCACAATGCGGTCCTGAAGATTTGATACGCGTCACGAAGAATGTGACATTGGCGACCGCCAAGGCAGTGGCCGCTGGTGCTTCCAATCTGCAAGCCGACATTGTAGCCGCCGCCAATCTGGGCAGACGCGCCATTTCGGAAATGCTGCTGATTTGTCGCTCGGTCGCTTGGAATTGTGCAGAAACTGAGGAATTGCGTCAGCGTACACTCGAAGCGGGTGCCGCTGTTGGCGAATCCTATCGCGAACTTTTGAATGGTATTCTGCACAATTGTTCAGCCGACGATCGGGTGCATTTGTCGCGTCGCGTTGCCAAAAGTGTTACCGATCTGGTTGCGATGGCACGCTTGTTGAAGGGTTCCGACTGGATTGATCCCGAAGATCCGACAGTGATTGCTGAAAATGAATTATTGGGTGCTGCAGCATCCATTGATGCGGCTGCTAAGAAATTAGCATCGCTGCGTCCGCGGCGTCAACCGGATGTAAAGGTAAGGGCTTAAAGCTATCTGGTGCTGGATTACTGACGTGACTAACTAAATATTTAAGTGCAAAAATTAACTTGAAAACTAAAAAAATTAAATGTAATTAATTAACTGTGCTTTGGTGATGGGTTGACTAAATCGCTTAGTTGGGAAATAAATTATCGTAACTCTCCTTCGCTTGTGTAACAAAAATAAAATTATGGTGTGTGGATTTGTAACTGTGTTTGCCCCCCCCTTACTAAACGCTAATAGTTCCAGTCAGATATGTTTGATATTCTTGGTTGTTGCATTAAAAGGTTCACCCAGGAATCAAACATATTATTACTGCGATTATTAATATGCTACTAAAAAAAAAAACATTAAATGTTGTATAAAATAAAAGCTTTTAATAAATTTAAAGCAGCTTTGAAACTTTGCTTAACATACAAGTTTATTAAGCCCCTGGTGAATATCTGATTTGAATAATTTACCTATTTACAGATTGAATTGGATGAGAATATGAAGTTCGATGAAATGATCCTGGAGGCAGCGAAGGGCATCATGGCAGCCTCTTCGGCGTTGGTGCGCGCTGCCAATGCCGCTCAACGTGAATTGATCGATCAGGGCAAAGTGGCACGACGTCCACTCACCTCATCGGATGATGGACAATGGTCGGAGGGTTTGATATCTGCCGCTCGTCTTGTCGCTGCAGCTACGCACAGCCTCGTTGAGGCTGCACAGAATTTGGTGCGTGGAGTGGGCACTGAAGAGATGTTGATTTCCACAGCCAAGCAAGTAGCCGCATCAACAGCTCAGCTGCTCATCGCATGCAAAGTGAAGTCGAATCCGAACTCGGAGGCAGGACGCCGTCTACAAGCCGCTGGCAATCAGGTTATAAAGTCCACGGAGAATTTGGTGCGCGCAGCCCAACAGGGTCTCGAAGATGAAGAGGAGAAAACGCTGAAAATTAATACATCGATGGTTGATGGCATGGCACAGGAAATTAACGCGCGATCCGATGTGCTGCGAATGGAGAAGCAATTAGAAGAGGCGCGACAAAAGCTCATTACCATTAGGCATGCGCGAGCGCTGCAGAAGAAGGGGCAAGGATTCGGTACGGACGAAAGCGACACGGAGTACGCGAATTCCACCTATGGAACACTACTGCAGAAGAGCCAAAATAATGTATGAACTCACTTTCAATTGCCCCTATTTTTTACCTCTATTTTATACTTATATGTATGCATGCACGTACACATACACACATATCTATTGATGTAGCAGCCCATTGAGGAAGAAACGCTCAATGAAAAAGTGGACAACACACTGGCACAAAATTAAAGGAAGAGCATAAATATTACTTTAAATTCAAAGTGGAAAGATACTCCTATAAATAAAAAAATTAATTGGCGAAAATTGATATCGAAGAAAGTGTGTTGCTCGCCGTAGTTAGATTGCATTTCAGGAAAACTAGCACATAGTATTACATTTAGATTAACAGCTTTTGTTTTATTATTTAATACACTCCAGAGATCGCAAATATGTAACAGTTAACCAGTTAAAAATCTCTTTCTTCCATCTTTAATGGGGAAATGGTTTCTCATTGTGCAATATACATTTGTCTGTTATTTTACGGTTCGGCAGTGTGAATACCCAGAATGTTCTGAAAAACTTTAATCATAATAAACACAATAATTAATAATAAATTTTTAGATATTCAAATAAAAAAATAAAACATGCGGCCAACTTTTTACCCGTTTCTCAAAGACATCATTCGAATTTGCTCTTATTGCGTGATTCTTCGTGCTATTTCTTTCAGCCCTTTTTCCCCGATACTTTTCGGTATTTTCGTTTTTTATTTTTCGTGTTTTATTCTTTGAGATGTTTCGCGAACTATCTGGGCGTTTTTTCGGTACGTTTTGAAAATCTCCCTTTGCGGAGGTTTGCGTATTTTTTCAGGAATTTTATGTATATTTGACATTTGACAGGGTTTTTCGAGGCATTTTGAAATCGTTTATAGGCGGCATACACAGTGCGCCTGACTCGTGAGTCGGTTTGGACGTGTTTGTGAAAATAAATATGTGTTAGTTACACCAACATGACTCCCGTCATGACTCTGAATGATTCAACTGTGTAGTCGAAGACGAGTCAACACGTACACAAATGACTCGCGAGTCAGACGCACCGTGTATGCCGCCTATTATGTCTTATTTCGAGAACTTTCCGATAGTTTGTCGTGTTTTTTCAGTTTTTTTTTGGGTCTTTCGGGATCTTTCATGTCCAAAAGTGCATGCAAATTTCAACTTTGATTTTTATAAATAACTTAAAAATTACCGGCTAAGCTCGTAAAAAAATTGATCAAGTATACAAATATTTTGTGCTTTTATTATAGTTAGTGCTCGATAGGGTATTTGATTTATTCATATCAAGATATACATAAATATGTATATAAATCTGATATGTTCTCTATACTCATATCTTTTCTGAGAAACGTTACAAAATCTATAAAATATTGCAAATTTTTTTGTTGTTAACTAAAAACATTAGCATTAGCTTCTCATACTAAAACTAACTACATACATACTTAGGGCCAGTTTTTCAGTGCTGGTTTAAACTCAGTTTAAACTAAGTTCAGTTAAACTCAGTTTAAATTTAAACTAAGCTTAAACTACTGCCCAGTTTTTCAGTGCGAGTTTAAGGCCGCTTCGTAGTTTAGTTGTTTTGAAGGGCAACACTGTTTATTTTCACTTTTGATACGATTGCATTTCAAGTTCTGAAAGATTATAGACGGAAATCTAAAGAATTTGTTAGGTGCTGCATGTGTTGCCCGGCCAAATTGCAAGTAAACTCCAACTCAAGTTGCGTTTGTTAATTTTCTTGTGCACAATTTTTATTTTACGTATGAAAATTTCGTTTATTCATGAAGGTGCCGCTATACAAAAGAGTCTGTTTTCGTGTACTTCGCAAACAATCTTAATTTTTTTATCCTTTTTCATCTAAATTTTGACAGGTGACTACAAATATACAACTTAACAGATAGTTTAAATTCGGTTTCACCCAGCCAGATTGGGCGTTTGTTTAAACTAGATTAAAATTTGACTGAAAAACTGCACACTGAGTTTTAATTTCGTTTAAGCGACAAACTGAAAAACTTGGCCCTTACGCTAATACGTAAATGTTTTTAAATAAAAAAAAAAACATTTTGATTTTACATCTGTAATTTTCCTCAGTGAGGATTCCATATTTCTTCTCTTATACCTGATACTGTTAATTTATTTATTAACCGACTTCAAAAAAAGAACGAGGTCATAAATTTTTTTTTTGTATGAATATATAACCTTGCATAACTTTGGACCACGTTAACCGATTTCTCTAATTTTTTTAAATGAAAGTGGTGGTTCCATACTTACTCGATCTAGATGTGGTCATTATATCATGAAGAAATTAATGGTACTCTTAAATTTGTATATGAGAATTGAAGTCGGTTTTGTTTTTTTGCTTAAAAATTACTTGTTTATAATGAACACTGCTATCTGCCTTCTACATAGTGTAATTTTGTAAATACTTGATAGTGATAACTGTCATTTGCGATCTCTGATACAAACACATTGCACCAACTAATATCCATTTTTACTAATTCAAAATCATTTTAACTCCGCCATCTAACCTGTAGACACTAAATCGTTCGGGCTACCCTTCGGAAGTGCCGCCCACCTCACCGAGCTATTACAGTCAGCAGCAGCAGCAAGGCAAGCATCACTACAACTACGCAACACACCCACAACACTTCCACCATCCAGCTGCTGTATCACCGCCGCCGCCGCCCATGAGCCATCAATATTCCAGCGGCGCTGAAGTGAACGGCAGCATTGAGCTGCCACCGCCACCGCCGCCACTATCGACGACTCTATACAACATGCAAACAGCCACGGCATCGGGCAGCGGTGCCGGCAGTTCCTTTAGACCTAACCCAAAACTAACAGCCAATGCGGTGCCACGCCCCTACACCGGTAGTGCAGGTGGTGTCAGCAGCAGCAACAGCTTACTAGGTACTAACGGTGGTGGTAGCGCTAAATTCACTCAATCACCCAATCCCGTAGCGAATGTCAGTAATTACCAGCAACAATCTTTTGAAAATGCAACAACAACGGCCACAAACGCCCATCAATCGGCGCTACCCACATCGCAGTCAACCACTCAGAAATCGACCGCTGTCAATCGGAAGCTAGAAGCCTGTGTACAAGATTTACACGACAAAACATTCGGCCATGGCGGTGTAGTGCAGATTACCGGCGGTGGGGCATACCCTGGTCAAAACTATGAAGGTTACACCTCCAGGTGCGTACATATGATACAGTTAGTTGTTAAAAAAACGCCGTTTGTAAATTAGAGGTGTCCTTATTTGTATGCAAAGTTTTAAAAAATTTGTTTTTGGCCAAAAGCAATAATCGCTTGAATTAGAACTAGGAATGTTAATCCCGGGATCCCGAGATTCCGGCCTTTCTAAGGTCCCAATTGTAATTCGTACTGATGGCAATAATAGAAACTCCTTTTCTTGACCAGTATTGGCTATATTTCTTTTTTTTTATTTAATAATTATTTTTTTTTTATAATTGTCTAGCTCATTATACATATAACACCGCACGATAGTAAATTTTAAACACAAATATCAATATATTCGCGAAAGCATGGGCCGAATATAGTAAAATTGCGTTTTTAGTTTTTCAATCTGATGTCAGTAAAAATTTAGAGAAATGTGCTAAGAGAAGAAGTCTGGGTATCAAATTAAAGAGGAAATCCTGTAGAATTTAAGCAGATTCAAGTTTTTGGTGCAGAAGGACTGGTAAGTATTGAAAATGTCCTTTTAAAATTTTATCCTTGAAATTTCGCAATATGTATTTGTTTTTGAAAAAATTATTTGTTAAGGACTTATATAAACTCGATAACATCCGCGAATTTCGTCCTTTTAACCTTATCAGCTTAAAAAATTATCTATTCGTCCTTGTGAATCCAAAAAATTTAATTATGTATTTTAAGTTCTAAAAAAAATTGTCTCTTTAATTTGGTACCCATAGTTTTATGCTACAATGCATTGATTTTTTTTAATAATTTTTGAAATTAATCAAAATTTTGAAATTACAAAGTCCTTTAAAATAAATCCTGACGTCAGAGAGAAAAAATAAAAACGCCTCTTTGAATAAAAAAGTAGGAATCAAACCCATTTATTTATTATTTAATTTATGGTAGGAGAGCCTTCAAACAATATAGAAGCAATTTTTTCGATTTAAGTCGTTGAAAAGTATTGAATATCTAAATCCCGGGATCCCGAGATTTTATCACAATCCCGAAAATCCCGGGATCGGAAAAAGCTTAAAAATTAACATCCCTTATTAAAATGCTGCTTTTATAAAAAGGCACTTTCGGGTTTTCCCATTTAAAAACCAAAGAATTTTATAATGGAACTGGAGTAGAATATTGGAAGAGTTTCTAGGCATCAAGATTTTGATTACTCAGGGCGTGTGTGAATCGGTAACAAAGTTCTATGGGGAAAGCTGTTGAATAATATTTTTACTATGGTGAGACAGTTTTGCCAATCTGCTGTGTGAAATAAAATATTTTTTGACAGCAGTAAATTTTTGATAACCGCAGATTTATTTGGATTAAAATATTACAAATTGAAGTGAAATTAATATTTTAAGAAAGCATCTACCATCGTTGATTGCAATTCATCTATTTAAGCTTTTATTTAACGAAAAATTACACACATAAACAATCTTTGCGATTGTCAAAATTTTCTATGCATTTGTCAAAAATTTCACTAGCCTCATGAGCTACTGAAATTTTATTCACCTCATAGTTGTCAAAAATTTACTCGACGCGAACTTTGTTACCGATTCACACACGCTCTCAAAACGAAATATGATTAATCAGAAAAATAAATTTTGCTCGATAAAAGAGTTTGCATTGGAAAACTTATGCTTATTTTCTGTTTTACATTCTGCATATGAAAAAAATTATTTCACTTTACTTTTGGAAAACAGCTTCAACTTCAACTTCAATTGCTTTATATGTAAAGAGTACTTTGAAATGTTGATTACTCATTTTACTCATAATGTTGATTAATCATATAGCAAATTACACAAATATTTTGGTTTTGGTTAATCAAAATCTTGATTGCTCGAGTAACTAAACTTTTGAGTGATCATAATTTCCAATTAATCGAATAATTGAGTTATTCACTTTATGATTAATTAAAATTTAGAATAATCAGTTAATCGCACAGCCGTATTCGGTGGTTTTTGGTAGTATTTAGGATTTTTTTCGTAGCTGATTACGAAACTGAAAGCAGGGTCCGAATCGCGGTATTCGTGACCAATTGATTACTCGTTTCGAATCGGATCGAAAAAATTTTAGTCCCGGGCAGAAGTATTGGCACAGGGAATTTTTCTTAATACCTTCAAATAGAGCAAGAGTCCGCGACGGCCAGAAGATGGTACTAAAACTGAATGGGCTACATACTTAGAATTTTTCTAAGAAATTTGAATAGAAAGCTGCAAATTAGTATGCAAATTTATTGGATTTTTTATGACTTTTGCACAAAGTTTAGAGATTTTGTTTTTATGTTGTGTTTTGTAATGTGAATAAGAAGAAGAGACCAAAACAAGTGTTACCCTTACTGAAACCATATTCGCTTCTATACATTATTCAATGGATTTTCAATTTGTACTGTATATAGTTAGTTTAGGTGAACAGAAATAATAATTTACTTGTATATAATAGGACACAGCTCTATTGTAGAAATCCTACTTGCCATGTGTACTGTTTCCCTTTGCCAAATTAACATCGCCTTTCCTATTTTCAGTTATGAAACTCGCAATTTCGAGCAGAGCGATGAAATGGTGGATAAACCCTTGGATTCGAGCTTCTCACAAATGACACTTAGCACTGATGGCGGTAAAGTCAGCATAATTGATCAGGGCTCTGAAAGGTTGACGTCGATGACGCAACGTGTAATGGAACGCAAAACTTTTAGCAGCACTACCGAGATGCATTCGGAAAAGAAGACACACAGTTTTCGCATGGAGTAGATTAGTTTTAGATTCGAATACAAAAAAGTATACATACGCATAACTACATATACATGTATGTATGTAAATATAACTAAAATGGCAAGCATGTTGGTGCTATCCTCTGCGGTGTGTCAGCAGCAGCATATGCTTTGCCTCGAAGTTTGCTTATAGAATGCCACTTCGCCACTAAGGGCGCTTGAAAAAAAAAATTGTCAAAAGTGCTTTTAACTGAACTAATTTATGTATGTATAATAATCTATAATAATGTCTAGATATTAGTAAATATTAATGGAGTTTTAAAATGTTCGCCGCCGTTTTTTATGTCGCAGCCAAATACTTGCAAGCAAAAAAAAAAACACACAAAAACAAATAAAACTACTCCGATTTGGTGTTCGAATAGTTCAATTTGTGTGTCCAGTAGTCGCTGTATTTTTGATGTATTTGTTTAAATGTAGAAATGTGTATTTACGTATTTGTATAACATTTTAATTATATAACAAAAGTTTACAACGATTTTCAGCCAGAGAATAAAAATGTTTGCCAACATGTTGCCTGTAATTGCATAATAAATAATTAAAATAACACTATTAACGGTATTAAAATAACGATTAAAAGCGAAATACAAAAAAAATAAACATTATTTTAAATTATTTATTGACCATCACGCTTTGTGGTATCCAAATTATTATAAAATAGCTTTTTATCGATCGTGATTAATTTTTTAATAACTGTACGCAATTATTATTTCTGAACCCTTTATGTTTTTTTACTCATCAAGCCAGATCAAAAAAGTTGTACTTGATTTTATTACATTTTTGCTAAATGCAATATTACCTGTTTTGTACATATGTACGTATACTTTTGCATACAATTTCGTTTTTCGTGTATTTTTTTTTATGTACAATGAATAAAATAAAATAAAATTAATTATTAATTAATCACTTGGGCAAATCATTATAATCTTTCTCCCAGGACAAATAAAAATATGGAGTCGAGCTAAGAAAGGCGGAGCTGGAGGAGACAGCAATTTCAAAGCATCGCTCTGCACGACTCGTCACCGCTTCCTTTGTGTGCGTAAACCGACTTATCAAATAGCTATTCGGGGTTTGCTATGGAACTGAAAATATTTCGCCTCACTGCGCAAGTCGCGAATTAGGCTATAAATTGTGCGACTCGACAACATTGGCATTGTCTACTGTCGTGCTGAAATAAATAAACGACGAAAATTGTGGAAAACTTTTTTAATACACTAGTCGAGTCAAAATTTTAGGCAATGATTGGAAATTTTCGATACGATTCAACTCTCTCAATGAGACTGAGTTTTTTTCTAACACCCAATCCATGTTTTACCCTTGAAATTAAGTTAGAAGTGTGGATTTCTGAAAAAATCAATTACAAAGAGCCCTTTATTAAAATATCATCATTTAAACCATATGTATGTATGTACGTGTGTAAAAAAAATAAAAATAAATGCAGCAAAAAGTCTGTTCGTTAGTGTATATCGTTTCTCTCTACAGGCACAGATCACAGCCGTTTATTACATCTCGTCGTCTACTTATATTCCTGATTCAATTGACGTCCGATTAACCAACGACGAATCTCTGAGGTACCAGCACCGATTTCGTACAATTTTGCATCACGCAATATTCGTCCCGTCGGATATTCATTTATATACCCATTGCCACCAAGTATTTGAATGGCATCCAATGCCACTTGTGTTGCCTTCTCGGCACAGTATAAAATAACTCCAGCACAATCTTTTGGACTACTTTCACCAGCGACTGCGGATTGCGCAACAGCGTACAAGTACGACCGGCAAGCGCTCAATGTGGTATACATATCAGCCATTTTGCCCTGTATCAGCTGAAACTCGCCGATAAGTTGGCCCTTTTGTTTGCGTTGATGGGCATAGTCGAAGGAGATGTCAACAGCAGCTTGCATAAGGCCCACTGGTCCGGCAGCCAGCACCAGGCGCTCATAGTCCAAGCCGGACATCAGCACGTATACGCCTTTGTTTTCATTTCCCAATATATTTTTGGCCGGCACCTTTAGATCCTGGAACACCAATTCACACGTGCTACTGCCACGCATTCCCAGCTTATCGAGCTTTTGCGCCACACTGAAGCCCTCCCATGCTGTCTCAATAATGAACGCAGTTATAGCATGCTTATCGGCAACACCACTGTCAGTCTTGGCATACACTATCAAGGTGTCGGCGTCAGAACCATTGGTGATCCAAAATTTGGTACCGTTGAGTACGTAATAGTCGCCTTTTTTTCTCCGCACGCAGTTTCATAGATACCACATCGGAACCCGAGCCCGGCTCAGACATGGCCAAGCCTCCGATATGCTCTCCATTGCATAGCTTTGGCAGGTATTTTTCCTTCTGTTCAACTGTGCCATTTTTGGTGAGTTGATTCACGCAAAGGTTCGAGTGTGCACCGTAGGACAAGGCGATGCCACCTGCGGCACTTAATTTGTAAAAAAATGTGAGAAATATCGTCCATTAGTTCGAGGCTGGTACAGAAAAATTAAGGGGGGGTGTGACACCTCCCACCTTTCCAACTTGATAGTGCAAAGACCAAAGAATTCACCGATCTTTCTTTCTCTTCTGACTACGGGGGGCCGCTTTAGGATCACAACCCTCAATCAACAGAATTCTCCATTCTTAAGTACTGGTTTTTTCCTTATTTTCATGAGACTCCTTGAGGTTGTAAGAGGCTTAGTGTTGGCCTTTTTAAATTGGAAAGTTGGGATGTGCCACGCCCCTTAACTTTTTTGTACCAGCCTCAACTAAGCGACAATAATCAGAGCCCCACCCAAAAGTGTTTTTAATAAATTCAATATGCAATGAATATTTGTATGTGTGCGTGTGTTTACCGAGAGATTTCTTCCATGATAATGCAGTGATCCAGGTAAGTGCCACCTGTGCCTCCGAAATCCGGTTTAGCTGTGATACCCAGAAAGCCTAGATCTCCCATCTTTTTCCAAAATGTCCGCAGATCTCTAAGCAGGCATTAAAAAAAATTAACATTCACGTTAAATGGTATAACATACATTGTATATGTATGTATGTATGTATGTACATAGCACACTTGATTAAATTCCTTACTTGAAATTGTCATTTTTGTCGATTTCTTTAGCATATGGAGCCAGTTCTTTTTGGAAGAAATTGAATGCAATCTCCCGCAATTTTTGTTGCTCCTCATTCAGGCCAAAGAACTTGTCGTTAATTGGGTAGTATGCGGCTCCCCTCGTTTGGTGAGGTACTCCCACGCCCATACAGCGAGGCAATAGCGTAGATAGTGACTTTGTGACGAAACGTAAACTTACAGACATATTAATAAGAAACAAACAGGTACTTTCTTTTAAGAGACAAGTACAATCTGGAATTTACTACGGAAACCAAAAAAAAAGCAAAGTACAAAAGTTGGTCACTTTTGATCAGCAAACAGCTGTTGAATTCTGAACAGCACGTTTCTTATCAATATAGTGTTGCCAGACTTATGCACTGACGGAAAGTGTAACCAAAAAGATTTTAGTTCGTAATTGAGGGAAATTAGAAAACGGCAAATGACCTGGATGAGTGGAATAATCAAGCAGATGCTATATTACTTATGCGATTTGATATCGTAATTGATGCGATAACTATTACCCGATTTACATGAATCAAGTACTTGAAAGTAATTCTTGCCCATTCTCTTTTGTGTTTTCTATTCGCTTTTATACGCTGCCATTCTGTTTAATTCAAGTTTTTGTTTCTTTAAATGCGAAACAAAGAAAATGTCAAAAGCAAGCAAGAAAGTTGAAACGACTTGACGGTACAGACGCTCGTCCCTTTTCTTCTCACCTCCTCTCTTTCACATGCGAGAATTGAATTCAATACTTGAACTGTGTGAAAGCAGTCTATAAGAAGCAAAGGCCCTCAAACTGGTGTGATACGATACACTGCGGTATGCCCCAAACACGATGCAGGTTTGCAAACTGAGATTGTTACATATCACGGTTGAACCTCTCTCTTTATGTAGCAGGCTTTCTTTGGTTAAAAAATAAAAAATCTGCAACCCTAAAATTTAAAAGCCATTCATATCGTGCGATCAATTGTGCTTTACAGTCTCCCCGTTAACTTTCCGTCGCCAAAGTTATCTAAATGAAAGGTAGTGCGGCAAAAATATTAAATCTTTAATTCGCTTTTATGTAGACGTAAAACACTGCAAGAACGGTTCTTTTAGATTTCGAGTATTGTAAGGGTTATATATTCACTTACTTTAACATATGTATGTATGTATGTATGTATGTATGTATGTATGGGTGCATTCCAAAACGTCAAACAACAAAGCATCAGTATCTATTTTGTCCTCGTTAACCTCCAGACCCATTCGCTTTGCCTCTGTAAGTAATCCCGAGAAGGCAGAACAGACGTATCCCTTGTTTTTTACAGATAATATCGATGTCGTCGGCATACGCCAGCAAATGTACGCTATTGCAAAGTATTGTGCCTGAGCGTTTCAGTTCTGCGGCTCTTATTATCTGCTCCAACATCAGATTAAAGAAATCACACGAAAGGGAGTCACCTTGTCTGAAACCTCGTCTGGTATCAAACGCCTCGCAGAGGTCCTTCCCAATTCTCACAGAGCTGATTGTATTGCTCAACGTAATTTTACACAGCCGTATTAGTTGCGCGGGGATAGCAAATTCAGACATCGCGGCATAAAGACAATTTCTCTTCGTGCTGTCGAAAGCGGCTTTAAAATCGACAATTAGATGGTGTGAGTCGATCTTCTGTTCGCGGGTCTTTTCCAAGATTTGGCGTATTGTGAATACCTCGTCCATGGTGGATTTTCCAGGCCTAAAGCCACACTGATAACTGAACTGCGTACTGCCTCAAGAAAATTTTACATAAGAAAATTTCTTAGCCATTTCCTGTACGTCATTTTATATGGAGTTTATTCATAAAAAATAAAATAGGTTTAAAGAGCTTTATAAATTGGCATTTTCATACTAATTTTCGATTTATAAAACAGTTAAAGTCTTCTTTTTTATGAATTTGGTGGTAAAAATTTAAATTAACTAACAAAATAACTAATGTGAAATAAAATACAACAAAAGAAAATAAAATAAAATAAAATAAAATATATAAATAACAAAATATGTATAAATGAAAAAATATATAAATGAAATAAAATAAAATAAATAATAACAACACAAAACTTTTTGGCAATCGCTCCAACCGAGGATCGAAGCTAGGACCTACAGACTTGTAGTACGCAGCTCTCACCACTCGGCTACCGCAGACGCCAAACCCGCTCGCTTTGTTTGCTTACTTGTACAATAGACAACAGCTGGCCGTTTTTACCAGCGTTGCCGTAAGTCTATTACTACGTTTATGCGCATGCATAAGTCGCTTTAATTCATTTCGTCGCGATTCAAAACATTGTATAAACTAAATTTCAATTCGCTTTGAAAGAGCGAAGTGTTTTGG